CCACAAGCAGCTGCTTATCCTCACAGACCTTCCTATTTCAGGATGGCCAGCAGCTAATTCTGCAGGCTGGTGTATTCTTGATTTGAAAGGCAAATACCATTTCCTGGTATCAAAGCTACCAATCAGTCACTTGAATTTTCTTCTGCATCATTAAAACCAAATTACGGCTGTCACAAGAAGCAGAACAGCATTTTTACTTGCTGGTAGTCAACACTGCTCGTTCATTTGCAACTTTAACTTACTTCATCTAGGAGAAAGAGCTTTTAAGGAAGCAGCTCCCCTCCCCCCACCCCTCCAAAGCTGCTCCTGGTAATTACGATTTTGAAAACAAACAAGGATCTTTCAGTTGTGGCTTAAGTCTTCTTCAATAACCATTGCGACTCTTTTTTAACCTTCTAAACACTTTTTGCACATGCTCCTCTTTCCACTCCCGAACTGAAATCATTGCAATAATTCAGGAAAGTGTTGCAGCGAGATTTTCAAGCAAGTAGGTTGGCCATCATGGACAATCTTAAGCATTCAGACTTGGGGGGGTCAACTTAGTGCTCACAAAAAATGCTAGCAGTGAGGCTTTGAGACAACTGGGAAGGCAATTAGCACCTAATATGATTAGTGCTGCCCAGGAGCAGGTATCCCAGGGCACTGGATACCACTTGCTTTTCACGAAACAATAGTACTTTTCAGTCACTGCCTATCTTGGTAAGTGGCAATTTTCATAATGATGACCCACAGGTGGACATTTTGACACTGGGTTAATAGCCACAGTCCTAACAGATGTGGGAGAGATCAGGCCTCAGCCGGCTGGTATTTGGGAGCTGACCCAACAGCTAGGGAGTTTGTTCTCATCCAACAGCTGAATTAAACAGCTGAATTCCTAGAAAGCCAGCCGTGATGCAGCAGGATAGGATGCAAGGGGCTTAGTGCCCAGCAGAGCTAACCAGGAAGGTTTCTAGGGATCCCAGATGGTGCTCTTCAACAAACCAGCCTCAGAAAGCCTCAGCAAAGGAAATTGAACAGGAATGAGCCAGTTCAGCTATGGGATAACTAGTCAGAGCAGTTCTGGGGCTCCCAGAGAAAGCATGTGGCTGAACAGATGGTCCCAGGCAAAATAGCTCAAGAAGCTTCCACCTCTTGGAAGCGCATTTACTGCATTTACTTCTCAGTGTTAGCCACCAGTTTTACAAAAGCCCTGGTTTTATTGGTCTCTGTGTGTAATGCAGACAAGACATAAGCTTGGATTAACACGGGACATGCCATATTTTGGTATTATGTGTAGCTGGCTGGTTTTCACCCCCATGAACAACTGAAAGCAACAAGCCATACGGTCTCAGAGGAACTGAGAAGATGGGTCCCGCTATTTGTGGGAGCAGCTGTTTCGCAGAGTTCAGTGAGGGAATTCAGAAACCTTCCCATGGCCTGATCCAGTGCTCACAGGAGTCTGTGGAGCACAGCATAATATTTGGCTTTGCCATGATTTATTGCATATAAAGAAGCATTCTTCTTCCCTTATGAATAAAGGAGGAGTTCGGGGGCTTCCTGCCCCCTCCAGTTAAATGAACCTGGGAAGTACCATCAGAAAAAAAAAATCACGAAGCACTCGAGCAGCTTGTAAATACTGAGGGTTTTATTTCCACTTCACATGGTCTCCAACAGACTCTTAAACAAGACCAGTTACAATTTAGTATGCCCAGAGATCTCCATGGTTTTCCCCAAACGAAGGAAGTTCTCAGTAAACACTGTACATAGCCAGTTGAACTGCTAACAATAATTTAAAAACTCTTTTTGTATAGTCAATGCAAGAATACCAACAATAAAAGTACAGTACAGGTAAATTCACAACAATATTACAGTGAAACAGATTGACTCACATTTATGTGATGGTAGAAGTACAGTAGCAGTATGTACATGCACTAAAGTGCGAGGACCCAGAGGCATGCAAGTCAAGTATTGTAGGTGTATTTTACAGCTAACTCCATAAGACTTTCTGAGGCATTCTTTTTTTTTTTCACTTTTTCTTGTGTTTACCTGTATTCCCCTCCATCTCAATTAATACAAGTCTAGTGAACTAGCTTAATGGCTTTCTTCACTACTTAAAAGGTATCGCTTCAGATAGTTGAAGCATCTTTAAGAACCTTACTTTTAAAAACCGGTAACACTGACATTAAAATAGAATAAAATTAACTTAAGACCCTAGTTTTACATGAAATAAAAAAAAAAACCAACCCAAAAAACCCAAAACCAAAATCGAAAACATAACAGTGCAAATATAACCAAAAGGCAGTCAGTATTTGGAGAGAGCACGAGCACATATTCAAATTCCCTTAAAACTTAGTTTACATTTTATTTTAAATCTTACTTAATATCATTTTTACCCTTTTTTTGTTTTTTTTTTTTTGTTAATATACTGTATGTAGAAAAGATGGAGACAAAAATAGTTTTCTCAGCTATGAAAAAAATTAAGTTATTACAGGCACATTAACTGTTTCATTCTAGAAACACCTCTGTTTCCCAGGTTGGACATTCAGCAGCTGCGTCTGAGAACATTCTTTGACCTCTCCAAGTGGAACTCTCTCCTTCGTGGCAGAGACGGCTGGCGGGTGACCTGGCGGAGGCGAGTCGCAGCCCCCCTATTCCCGTGCGGAGTCAGGCCAGCTCGCCTCCCTGGCTGGGGGTCTCTGCCGGCGGCTCCTTGCTTCCGCTCTCCTCCGAGGAAGTCAGGTCTCCGGTGGACTGTGACTGTGAGGCAGTAGGGGAATGTGAAGCCCATCGCGACGGTGGGCGACGGTTCGCTGGTCTCTCCGGCCGGGAGAAGCAGGGTTGGAGGGACGGGGCTAGTGCAGAACAAGGTAGTTCCTTGGCAGCCAAGAGAGCAAAACAGCGGTTAGTGACTTGCATTAGAGGCCGTCTGGATGCGCAAAGAATTAGGAAACAAAGAACTAAAACTAAAGCTAAGCATCTGTCATGTCGCGGGACAAAAGCAAGCAGCGAACACCTGTCTGTGTTCGGGCTCCAGGTATCTGCATGTATGCCTGTGATTTATGGAACAGGTAAGGAGAAAATGAAAGAGGTCTGGGATGAGCCGGAGTAGCTGACAAACTTCCATTTGCTAATTCTCCTTATGCTAGAAAGAGAAGAGCTGTAAAGCACATTTGCATGATAATTCAGGAAAATCCACTATTCATCACATTGCTCTAAGTGCTGACCTGGCATAAAAAGGCCAGGTTCAGCATTTGCAAGTGGGGTGAAAATCGACCACCGACTCCTTTTGTCTGCTTCAGAGTTCAGACTGACATGCAGGAGAGACTTCTTAGCAGCAGAATAATGAATACAGGACTAGTTATGAACTCCAGCTGGATTAAAGATGAGGCTTACCTACAGATTTCATCTTCTGCAACGTCACTCCTTACTACGAGCTGCTGAAGCCTGAATTACAGGATCCAGTGTTACTGTATGTTAAAGATGACATTCACAGAAATGGAAAAAACCTGAAATTTTATTCCTCTGCCAATGTTCCACTGTTCAGGCTTGGTTAGCCTACCTTTGTGATTAGAAACAATCTGCAGTTGTGATTTTTCACCCTGGCACTAAGTTGGTAATTGCTTCTAATGTTTATGGACTTTGCTCATAGCACAGCTAGGCTTCCTGCCTCGCTCGGAACGCTCCTTACATCAAGATGAGTGAGTGTGGGAGCAAGTCTGTCTTGTAGGGCCGAAGCCAAACTTCTAAATTTCACTGCATACTTTGTAATTTAGAAAAGCAAATCAGAGGAGTTTGTCAACCTATAGAAATGTGTACACTGAGGAGCAGTCACTGGAGAGGACAGGAGAGTTCAACAAAAACCAGTCTCAAAATCAGAATGCAAACTGGTGATAAATGAAGAGAGAGACCAGAAACGATACAATGCAAAGGAAAAGCTCTGGCATGGTAAGGCACAGGGAAACCAAGGCAGCAGTAGAACGATGCAGTAGGAAGCAAAGGAGAAGGAGAAACGTGACTAGGGATGGGGAATATTGGAGTAGGTAACATGATGTGATTGGCAGTGAATAAACAAGGTGATGTGCCATTGAACCCCTCTGCTGCAGTGGGGGGACCAAACATGAATGTTACATGACAGAAAGATCAATTTTGAAGACACAGAGCTGAGATGTGGCAAACAGAGCTTGTGCAGACATGTGTTTCAGAGAGAGTGCATCATCGGACTTGGGGAAGCCTCTCTGAAGGGCGAACCTCTGTGCCTTTGGGCAATATGCAGCCAACAGGGTGATCAGCAAATGCATGTCACTGCTCGAGGCAGTGCTGTGCTCATCTGCCCTCGGCACTTGCAGAGAGCAAGACTAGGGAGCTGTTGCAGAAGCTGCTCAGGGGGCTACGGCGCCGAGGCCTGCACCACTGCCTCTCTGCATCCTTGTCCCCCGCCCCATCTCTGTGCCGTAAACGTCACAACGACCCTTGCTAAAACAACAGTAAGGCTGAAATATAAATCAGCGCTAACAAGAAGATGGACTCCGTGTCCTTACTTCACCTTATCCCATTGCGCCTGGGGCAACATATGGTCTGTGAAAGCTGCCACTAGACTCATATTTGTTAAGAGAAATCCATATGTGCAGCAATACTCACAGGCAGTGCAACACGGTGAATTGAGGCTATGAGATTTGTGGGTTTTGTCTTAGCCTCTTTCCAAACAGTGGCTTAAAATGGTATCTCTGTAGCACTGCTTGCTTCTGGCTGCTTTAGCCCAGTCTCATAGCAGTAAATGAGAGTCAGCATGGTGATAACACAATTTATTCCCACTGCTGCCTCTCAGTTCTAAAGCCTCTCTCCAGCACGCTGGCAGATGTTGGTCCGCTTTTACCGAGCGGCAGGGTTAAGCTCATCTTATCTGTGATGTACACACGCCCAGCACAACGCAAGGCTGGGTTCGTGACGGATGTTGCTCCAGGGCCAAGAAGTGACTGGCAGCGTAATCTTATAACGTGCCGGCTGCTGAGTCAGTCACCCCAACCTGCAGCATGGCTTCCTCTGTGCGCGCTAAGGAAATCCAGCCATGACAAGGAAACTGTCCGGAATGGTTTGTGAAACCCCCTCCTCACTTATCACATGTAGCTGTCATAGCTAGAAATGTTTAAAAAAAATTAATATCCTGTGGGTAATTTCGTTTGGTGGTTGCTTGGGGGTGTGGGTGGACAGGCAGCAATTCTTAGCCTGGACACTGAAAATGGGAAAGTTGATTTCAGCTTTAGTTTCTAGCTATTTCCTAAGCCAGGCTGTCAGCCACTGTGGCTATGCCTATATTCATACATAAATAAAACAGTTCTCTGGCTCTGAGGCAGAGTGGACGGTCATAGCTCACGTCTGCACAGCTTCTTCCCTCCCTCCGCTGCAGCAACCCCAGCCACTGGCCAAAACTGGGCTGGGAACAGCTTAATGAGCAAAGGCGACTGTCAGCCACGGGCTGGTGCTGGAGCCCTCTGGGCAGCTCTCTCCTCCTGCTGCTGTAGCCATGGCTGGAGGGAATGCAGCCCAGGGCAGCCAGAAGCCCTGCGCAGTGCTGTAAAAAGATGTTTGTTATAAATCTGAATTCCTCCCCAATATTTTTGCATACCTTTATGTTGGTCTTACATTTTGCCAATGTTTTAAAGTTTAAGAAAAAAACCTCAACAGCACAAATTTTGACTTAAGTGTGACCCCTTCATAGCCTGTGCTGCCGCAGGAGACAGCAGACAAGCTCCTATCCTGAGCGCTTCCTGACCACCGCATACGAAGGACCCCATAGGGATGTCGGGTGCGTGCCGATACCTCTGGAGCTGTGGTCATTTATTTCCCTTCGTTAACCCACACGTTCAAAAATGACCGCTTTCGGAAAGCTCTGGAAACAAGGTAGAAAGGACTTACAGCAGTGAGGCAGGCAGGGTTAGAGTCCCCAGGGGGCAGTTAATAAGACAGTTTGGTTCTGGACAGAACAGACAGAAAAGAAAAAGAAAGCAAGTAGGTTGGAAAGAACTGTTTTAATCAATTATTTTTTTAAAGTGAAGATTTCATGTCAGCAAGGAAGAAGTCTCCAGATGTTACTACCCATTCAGATCATGTTACCGCTGTTATCACAGGGAAACTAATAATAAAAAATAAAAGATAAGCCACTAACAGAAAAAGATTTAGAAAGGAAGGAAGCAAACAAACCAACCCTTTACAATCTTAGCACAGTCTCAGAAGTGGACATAGCATTAAACAAACCAAACATTTCTACTCAGCAGAGAAAGACATCTGTTATCCTTTGCCAACCTTGATTAAGGCTAGGGAAACACCACATTACTGTGAAAGAGGAATAAAGCTGTAATTTTTTTCCTCTGTTTGATGTCAAGAGAGAATTTCTGCTTAGGAAATCTTTAACAAACAAAAAAGCGATTGATATTTTATGTTGCTTATGTTTCTCATGTTGCTCATGCTTATGTTGCTCAGGTTTCATGAAAGCCCTTTGCCTCACTCTTCTCCCATGTTCCTGTTTAACAGCAACACTGGATGGGAGACTCAAACTAAAGCAAAACCACTTTAATTCTGACACCACCTTCCCTTCTTTTTAACATTCCTCCTCAAATGCTGAACGGTTCA